CCTTTAGTAAAGGATTTATAATGATTGAAATTGTAAAATACTATTAATACTCCATTCACCAATTCATCCTTATATGACTGTTTATTGAGAATTTAATAATAATTCATCATAAATTATGGCTTGCTTGGAAAGATATTATTTAATAAGTCAACATTCCAATCTCCAAAAATTAAATTTACTGTGGTTTTTTACTTTTAAATTTCTTAGACTCTCCAATTAATTTTTATTTATGCAAAATTAATCTGCTCATTCAAATAATTGATGCTTTATTTATAACCATCTTTTAATATAAAAATCTATGAATCTTATTAAAGAGATATTAAATCAATTAAATATCAAGTACAAAATAAAAATTTGAGATGCAACCATATAAGAATCAAAATAAAATTCAAATAATGAATAAAAGCTATATCCTTGGCTACTTGAATGAAAACCAAATATTTGATAACAATTTCTCGAGATAATTAAATTATGCATGATATTGGCAATGATTTTATTTTTTAAATTGAAAGATTAAAAATCTTTTTTTCTTGAAATCTAGGATGGAAAATTAAAATTACAAGTAAAAATTATAGCGTGTGCATCCAATGTATGATTTGACATTTAAGAAATTGATTCAAATTAATTTGTCTTATTATTGAATACTGATATTGATTTATTATTCAAGATATTATAAAGGGTTTTAAAAAAATTATATAATTAAATCCAATATTTTCAACTTTTTTATTCCCAAATTTATTAGATAATATAATGAAGTTAAAAATTGCATTCTGAACTGCATTCATAAATATCTTTTTTAATGTAATATAATTTTATAATATTCAATCTAAGCCAATCAGTAATCAAGTTTCAGGATTTTCATAATTCCTAATCATTTTTGAAGAAACAAAAATTCTAAAATACAGCCTTCAAATCAATTATAAATTTTTAGTTAGAACCTCTCTGTACTTTAACAGATTATGTGTTTGATTTCAAAAATATCAAACATGTGATTTTATAATTTCTCATTAATTTTGATTATAATTACATAGTGTTTTTTCGTATATCCATTTACTAATCCTAACCTCATTTAAAAACAATATATTAAAGTATTAAATTAATGAACTGAACAAAAAAACCTCTAATCAATCTAATTGATATGACCATCATTATAAAGCTTATTATTAAATATTGATAAATATAAAAATTTTACTACAAAAAAGAATATTTTGATAATCAAATTGGAGAATTTTCAAATCCAGTTAACTACCAATTACAAGAGTTGACTAAATTGAATATAGAGGTAAGATGTTAATCATTATTTTAATTAAAACATACTAAAAATATTTAGATAGATTAGTGATATATACATATATGATTGCTATTATTCTTAAAAAATTGTTATAAGATTCTTTTCAGTTTATACAATTTCTTACTATTGAAATCCCTAAATGCAATTTAAAGAAAAGGGAAAAACTTTTAAAAATTATCAAGTAATTATTTCTGATTATCAACTATAATTTTAATATTAATATTATAAAATTGGTCGATTTATCAATTATCCTTTCATAATAATAGATAAAAAAATTATTTACATAATACTATTAATTTTATAAAACTCCTTATTAAATACCAATGCATAAATATCTAAATATATTAAAAAAAGAACAGCCTGAAATTAATTACACTAAAAAATTCTAATAAAGACATAATGGCTTTTATAATTTATTTTAATTTATTACATAAAATAAGAATTCTTAATTCAATAAAAGCCAAGCAACAAATATTACTTAATGTTAAGAATGCATACTTACTTATTTCAAAATATGGTATAAATAAAAATAGAATAGAGAATTATGATTTTGGGCGATGATTGGACAGATTTAAACGTAAATTGACTGAATCCTTTGTGGTTAAGGCTTGGAGGAATTCATTAGGTGAATTTCACGACAATCATATCATAGTTTTAGAAATGATAACCTTTTAAGAGAGGTGATCAAGAGTTTGAAAATATTTATAGAGCTAAAAGGTAATAAAATAAATTTATATAAGTAGTAATAATATGATGATTATATTTTTTTAAGTAACAAAATGTTGTAAATTATTGTTGGACAAATAATTCGAAATTTTTTTTATTTCTTTAATTCAAATCTTTATTAATGACCATATATTTAATATTTTCTTATTGTTAATAATTGCAATCATTGATAAATTTTTAAAAGACAAAATTACTGATTATCTTTACAGGAATTAATCCTAAAATGAGATCAATTATTTTTCAAATTTATAAAAGTTTATTATCTTCTAATTATATCTTCTAAGGGACAATAATATTAAATTTAATTGTTGATTTGTTTCTCAAAACATCTAGAACAAAAAAGTGAATCATAAAGCAATATTGCTCATTTTAAGTTAAGTTTTCTATATTCAAAAATTAATCATAATTGATAAAAGATTAGATTCATAAAACTGTCTATTGGAGAGAGAGCTATTATTTTTTATAAAATATAAAGCTTAACAATATTGGATTAGGTATATATGTTTACTTTAATGATTATTCTATCAAAATAATAATGATTTTCTAATTTGAATATATACAAAAATAATGATTAAATAATCAACAGAGAGGGACATTATAAAACAATCTAGTCTACATTCTAACATACATGAATATAATTCAATGATTTTAAAATGTATATTAATTAAATAAATAGATTATTCTCTTCACATAAACAAGTCTGTCCTCAACTATTTAATAAAATCACTCATTAAATAGAAAAAATTGAAATTAAAAAGTAAATTAAACAAGCAAAAATAGATACCTGTTAAAAACAAATTGCAAACCTCAAATTCAGTAAATTATCTGAAAATTGAAATAAAAAAATTCAACTAACCATTCAAGCCGCTGTAAAGGGATTTTCTGAAAGCAAGTTAAGATAAAATTCATTTCGGATTGAATTAAGAAAAAAATAGATATTTTGATTATATATTTTAGGTTGATGAATCATAACATACTTGGATTAAATACTACTTGAATCAATAAACATAAATTTAGGTTAGCTCTATGCAAAAAATATATGAGGACTTTTACAATATTTTCAATAAAGCAAGATTTTACTTAAAAGATCTCATCAAAAATTAATTTTAGAGTAAAAACTAGTATAACCAGAAGATAAACTTTCTATATTGATCAAGCAGAGATATTAACTAGAATCAACATTATTGGATAAATGAGTTGAGATTTATTTGTGTTTTAATGTTTAAAGTGTAATGTCAATGCTTAATTATTTTAAAATTTTCGATAAAGCTTATTCATATATGTAATAAAAAAAATGGGCTAATATAATATTGTTTTGTTATGGATAATGGTATAAAAAGATATTTGTTTAAAAAGTGATGTTTTAAAATATGTGAATGATGTGTATTTACCAGCATATTCACCAAAATTGAATCCAATTGAGCATGTTTGGTGTAAAATGAAAAATAAACTATCTAAATAGAAATGCAGAACAAGTTTAAAATTGAATTAAGAGATTCATCGATGTTTTATCTAAATTAGTGATGAACATCTAAATAACTATTACCAATCAATTTATAAAATGATTATGATAAGTTTGAAAAAAGAAGATTTATGAGAGTAATAGTATTAATTGAAAAATGAATATTTTAAACCCTTAAGAAAAAGTAGTTTATGAATTTAATTTGAAATAATCTCGTCCAAATCATAAATTTAAGGGTTTTATTATATCTAGATAAATTTTAGAATTCATATTAAATTATGTAAAATCAGTTAGATTACTTAATTTAATAAATTCAATTAGATGTCATAAGATGATTTGATCATTCTTCCTTACTTAAGGCTTTAATATATTTTGGAGCCCTATAAGCCCATTATTGAATAGTATTGTAATTAGTCAATTTAAATTCTACTAATTGAAACATGATTATTCTCTATTAAAGAATCTGCTAGTATCAATTAAGAATAATAAGCTATAAAAATCTAAAGGCTTCTTACAATTAAGAAGAAGCAAACTAATAATAAAGCCATCTAATTACTATTAATTTAAAGAAATTTTCATCCATTCTATAGTAAAAGAAAGCCTCACCAAAAAGGAGGGTCTACCTTTTTAAAATCATGACAATTATACGTACCCAATTAATTTACCATTATTCGTACTCTAATTGTTATGCTACAACTCTTAAATTTAAAGTCTGAGGCAATTTACAAAAATATTATCCATAATCTAATCAAGGATTCAAGCCATATCTTAGATTTAAAGATTTAATTAATTAGCATTCTAAATCATTAGTTAATTAATTAAAAAAGGTATAATGTCAAGCTTAGTAGCTAAAAAGTAGATTAATTTTCATCTTAGCTATCAATATTGCCTTAGTGGAAAAGCCAAGAGTTCAATCTTATCATATTTATTATTAAGTATTTAAAATCAATATAGAATTTATAAGGATTTTACCTGAGCTTAAATAAAAGTCATTAATTGGAGTCTGTTTGAAGTTATACTTCTCAATATACTACCTAAATATATTTCCTAACTCCACATCTAATTTTTTATTTAACTTAGGTTCTTATGAATACATCTTCAAAGATTCCAAATTTATTAGTAACAAATTAGGAACCTTATCCAAACATTTGTAAATATTATTCTTCAATTTATAAGTAAGTAAAAGAGAATCTAATCCAGTTTCATATGCTTTATTAAGAAAACTTAGTAAGTCCTTCTGGATAAACTAGTAAGAGATTACAATTATATTTCATTAGATGGAATCAGTCTTTAATCTTAGTAACTTAAGGAAGAGTTACTAAAGTTGGTTCTCTATAAGGGATTATTCCATTATCATATAATAACTTCTTCATATAGTAATTAATGATGGATTATTATTGTTATTAGTTTATTTTTAATATGTAAAAATTGTTAACTCCTCTTTTTTAATTTTTAATCTTTTTCCAAAAACTCCAGTTAGTATAGGAAAGTATTAAATTTCACTAGAAGTTTCATCTACTCTCAAAAAGTAACTATATGATTTATAATTAGGAATTTACCTGAAAGTTATCTCATATACTTGCCATAAAGTTTCATTACAATGTCTAAAACAGCCAGTAGTGATGCGAAAATATAATCTAGAGTTGTTCTGTTTATGCAAGAAGGTTGCCTTAAAACTATTTATAACCAAGAATCATGATTAGATTCTAACAGACCAAAAGTTTTCTGCAGAATATAATCTTCATCAGGGACATCTCCTTTATCGATTAGAGGAGAGAAATCACTCTTAAAACCTTCCTGTAGTCTTATTTTTATGTTTCTGATCTTGAGTAACTTCTCTAAACGCTCCTTGAATTGGTAGGGCTGTATGAAAATCTTTTCATCTAAAAAAGTTTTCTTAAACGTTTTATTTTTATATACACCAAACAATTATTTTTTGCATAAGAACAATTCTATTGTTAGTTATTGATTCATAAGTCAACAGAAACCAATTCATAAAAATTGGCTCATTAAGTGAAATCATTAAAATAAGATTCAAAATTAATATTCTAATTTAATTTACAATAAGATATAATAAATAATCAAAATTTGGGGCCATCAGAATTATAAAGAATTTTTTTTTATTTGTTCTGGGATATTTCTTTCTTGTAATCATCCCTACCTTCTTTTTATCAATCAAGTATTAAGTAAAATTTTGTAACCATCATATTTCGTACGAATTTACAAGATATGATTATAAGTAAGTCATTTAAAAATTGATTATTTGTCAAATATCTCCGGATTGTTTTTAAAACCTTACTTTTTTAGTAAATTCATTCATTTTTTTAATTTTTGTTTTACAATCATCTTTATTATTTTTAATAAACCTTGCTTCTAATCTGTTCCTTTGTATGTTTTTAAATATAAGAATTAAACGAAGCCAAAATCACTAAGTCAATTCATTACAATTTAAAATCATTATCTTTTATTGCTTATTGCTTTAGATACTCAAAATTATATTACCTATGTTAATTGGTTTTGTCATCTCAGCATCAATTAAGTAAATATTTTAATGTAAATCTATTGTTTTTAATTCTTCATTTACTATAAAATAATATTCACGAAAAAAATGACTGCATTTAATATTTAATGAGAAATGAAAGAGCAAAAATAAATGCCTTCATTCATTTTAGAAACAATATTTATTAAAACTGAAGGCAAGGTTAATCTAAATTAATAAGATTTTGATATAAAATTATAATTTTATAATGGTCATTCTTCTGTGTATTTCCTAATTGATATTTCTTTAGATGAATCATCCCAATCAATCAAATACTCTCCATCATTACTCATATATTCGTATAAAATATTACTGCCAAATTGAATAGATTATTTACCTTTAATTTCATCTTTTTCTAACTTTCTTATTAAATTGATATTATCATTATGCATACCAGCATGTAACAATTTTGATTTTATATAATATTATGGGAAAAATACATAATAAATTCACTTTGATTTACAGTAATATTTTGAGTTTTAGTGAATTATTTGCTTATACTATTCATAGTCATGTATCAAATTGCCAACATTATTGTTAATAAAACAATATCGACATCCTTAACAATCAATTTTAATATTATAAATTAACATCTACTTTTTATTATATTCTGAATATACTATTATTAATATTAATTAATCTTATCCACATGAAATAATATTCATTTATATTTATTTAATAACCACTATTTTTATGATGGTTTATTAACAGATCCATATTTGCCTTTTTATCCTTTATGTTAATGATCATCCTCAATTTATATAATTGCCTTATTGAAAATCTAATCTTAAGTAAATGAGAACATTATTTTACAAATTTGAATATTTGTTAAAATCTACCAAAAGATCAATTAATTTTTGGTTCCAATATATTATATAAATATTTTTAGAAATTTAGTATGGTTATACCAATTAGTAAATGCGATATTTTAAACAAACAGAATTCCCTAAATAAGTTTCAAAATAATAATTATATCGATTATTCAAAAATATAATTACTGGAACAATTTATTTAATTCAATGATTCATGATATAATTTTTGAATATGATTTTACAAAAGATTTTACTGTAATCTCAAAATTAATTATTTATATACTAATTTAAACACTTAGAGTTAGTAACAAAAATCTCCTTATTTCATTTATAAAACTTACTTTTATAATTGCGTTGTTTTGATGAGTTTGCCGCCTTCTAATGGAAAAGGAAATATTCAAAATTTTAAATTAACACTATTTATGATTAATGTTAAATCTAAGCCGAACCTAAATTATAAAGCCTTATCTCAAAATTTCATTTATAAATTTCTCTAAATATTTGTATTGTAAGCTTACCTTCTTTATTGCTGATTCTCTAGAATATTTTTTCTAAATTTAATTATTTATACCAAAGTCTATTAATAGGATATAATATTCAGAATCTTGTTTCAATAAAAATTAGGATCCCTTTATTATAATTCTCAAAGTGCCTCCTATATGAACACATTTAATTTAAAATGGAACTAATATAAATTTAGGCTAAATGGAATCTCTTTTATCATTAAATATGACAATTAACCCTTTTTTTATAGTTTTTTATATCTTTCATAGTCATCCTAATATATTATCTTTCAATATTTTATTTGTATGAAAAATATAAAATTTCTGATTTTTTTGAAAATTTGATCTTATGAAATATTTTATTATTAATAGTTTGCAATTTAT